TGTAGTAAGTACTAATTAAATCCTAGTTGAATCTGAATATTATCTTCCACTGTTTCATTCTCAGCCAAACTTGTGAACAGAGCTTAAAACAAATTTTAAGATTTCCCAGGGACTGGGCTGAGGTTGTGGCTCAGTGGTAGAGTACTTGCCTAGCATGTGTGAGGCACTGGTTTGATTCTCAGCACCACATATAAATAAATAAAATAAAGATCCATTGACAACAACAACAACAATAATAAAAGATTTCCTGGGATTTAGAATGGTGTTAAGCTCTTAATACTCAAAAATTATTTGTGGCCCGTCGTGAGGGTGCACAACTTTATTTCCAGCTACTCTACTTGGAAGACTAAGGTAGGAGGTAAGAGTAAAGCTTCCTCATTTATGATGGCAGTCCCAAGTTGACTGAAGCCACGGAAGTAAACTTCCCAACAAAATGGCTTAATCTTACTCTCAGAGATGACTAAATCAAACAGATTGAGGAGGGAGGTGCAAAGCATTTCCTTTCCATAATTATGCACCGAGATCGTACTAAATATTATACAGACACATAGTAAGCGCTCCATAGTTAGTTGCTATTATTAAGACACATCCCACAAGGAGACGACCAAAGGAGGAAAAAGAAGCGAGACTGTCAGTCACAAGAGGCCACAGGAGCCCCTGGCCTGAGACCCGCAAATCTTTGAGCACCAGGGTCTAGGGCCCCCTCCCCAGAGACCAAAAGAGGTTGGCGGCCTCCATAAAAGGTCAAGGTTTTGGAGCCACATTTCCTTCTGGGGCTGGGAACAGAGTCGGAACGCCCCCGCAGAATCACCGCCTGCCCGTAAACCCGCGCAGGCTCCGGGAAAGTGGGTGGCCAGGTTGCCTTGAGCCACAACCTGCAGGAGCAGAGACCCTGGCGCGTCTTGCAGCCCCACCACCTCCCTAAGGACAGACCACTACGACCTTCGGGCTCCGAAATCCTGAACGCAGGTCGGCCCCTGGATACTCACATTCACAGCCAATCCCTCTTACTCCATCAGGCCGCCAAAGGCCCGGCAAGGGAGCTCCCTGACGCCCCCCTCGGCTTCGGGTCCGGTGGCCCGCTCCGGACCCGCTCCCTGCCGGGCTCCGCCACTGCCTCCGCCTCCGCCGCCGCCGCCGCCACCAGCGCGCAGGCGCACCTCGCCGTCGTCGCGCTCTTTCCCCTGTCCCCCATCCCCCATCGCCTTTCTCAACAATCGAGCTTTATTTGTACACAAGAGAGTGAACAACGGACACAGGGGAAGAGGCTTTACTCAAAAAGAATGGAAGAACAAAGGCAGTCCGCTGCACCAACCTTTCTGAACCTTTTTCATTCTCCTTGCTCTTTCTGGGCCTCTAGTTTCTTTCCAAGTCCCCCCACCATAGGTAGTGGCAACTGTTTGGGCTCAATTTCCAAATCACTCATTATTTGTAAAACTTATTGAAGTTCAAAGGAAGGTACAAGAGCTTTAGTACAGACAGACCCAAGTTCAAATCTTAGCTTATTTGTGACGTTGGTCAAATTGCAAGTTTTCTTGGAACTTCAATTTTCTAAGTTAAAATTAGGTTTAATATCTCACAAGGTGTTGCTAAGATGAAATAGCAGAGGTCAAGTACTTATCTATGACCATTGCCTATTAAACAGCATACATTCCCTCTTTATTTGTGCCTAAAGTATTTTTTATTATTAAACTTAGCCCATACTCATTCCCTGGGAATTCTGTATTAGTGGCCAAGACTAGTCAGAAAAAAAAGTTACATTAAGGTTGATAATAATGTGAAATGTTGCTACTCCTGTATGATTGAAATTAAAATAACATCTCTACTTAAGTAGACCTTTAATGCCCCAAATCAATATAAGCAGCTACCTTAATCTATGTATAAATCCAGATTTGCTTCTAGAGGTTCAGGAAACTCCCAATTCTGTATTTGTGACATCACAAATCTTTGAGATATTGAAGGTCTGTAGTATGCTGCTCATTCTACTCCTTTAAAGTCATGCCAAGGAAGAACCTCTTTACCCTATAAGCTCAGGACCATAGTCAAAGTCAAATATGGTCAGATATTGGTGAACATCAAGGTAATTCTAGATCAGGATTTCTCAACCTTTAGAATATTGATATTTTAGAGCCAGTCAGGGTGATGCATATTTGTAATTCCACAGACTTGTGAGACTGGGGCAGGAGGATCACAAGTTTGAGGCCAATCTGGGCAATTTATTGAGATGCTGTTCTCAAAAAACAAAAAAGGTCTGAGGAATATGGCTAGTGATTAAGCTCCCCTTGGTTCAATTCCCAATACCAAAATAGTAATAGTAATAATAATAATAATGCTGACAATGTAGCTCAGTGGTAGAGTGCTTCTGGTTTCAATCCCAGTACTATATATATATATATATATATATATATATATATAAAGAAAAGAAGAAAAAAAGAATTTTAACATTTTGGAGCAGATAATTCTTTGTTGTTAAGGGCTATCATATGCATTATAAGATGTTTAGCATCTTGGACACTACATGCTAGTAATACTCTACCATTCTTCATCATCAAAATAATTTTTAAAAAAATCTCCAGACTTTGACAAATGTCCACTGGAAGACAAAACTGTCCCTGACTGAGAATCATGATATTATATCCATGACCATCTCAATCCTCAGTGAACTCAGTCATATATTTCCTTCACCTCTGCCCTCAAAGTGATTACTGTTTTGGAAAGCTACACAGAACAGAAACTGGTGAGTTCATTTCTAACCATCTCAAAAAGTCCCTCTACACTGCTTATTAATCCTTACTACTTTTCCAAAGCTTCTCAACTTCCTTGAAACTCCCAATACTACTTCCCTTATTGTCAGCAGATGACTTTGTCTCCTACTTTACAAAGAAAATAAGTCCTCAAATGAAAACTTATTTAATTACTGTTATTAAACATACAAACACTTCCTTTTATTATAATTGAGGTTATTTCCTTTCTCTCTCCTTTTCTAAGACTATTCCTCCCACCAGTGCTTTGAATTGCCTCCCTCCCCCTCCCTCTCTCTCTCTTTTTGTTGCTGTTGTTGGTAGTGATGGTGGTGGTGCTGTACCACTGAGTTACATCTCCAGCCCTTTTATTTTTAATTTTTGGTACTGAGGATTATAACCCAGGGTTATTTTACCACTGAGCCATATCCCCAGCCCTTTTTATTTTTATTTTGAGACAGGGTCTCACTAAGTTGTTTAGGGTCTGGCTAAATTGCTGAGACTGATCTCAAACTTGTGATCCTCCTGTCTCAGCCTCTCAAGTCACTGGGATTATAGGATGAGCCCTCATGTTTGGTTGTTAGTTTTTTTTTTTTGAGACAGAATCTTTTGTTAAGCCACTGAGTCTGGTCTCAAACTTGTGATCTTCCTGCCTCAGCCTCCAGAGTAGCAGGTATTACAGGTGTATGCCACCAATGCTTAGCAAACTGCCTCTACCCTTACCTCTCAAAATCTTTAGCTTCTTTCTTTCTTTCAATCAACTTTTTCTCAGATGGATCTTCTCTATCAAACTCAAGTTTCTCTTGTATTAATTTTAACATAAAACCCAACAGCAAAAACAAATGAAAACCTTGACCCTTTATTATCCTTTCTCCCTCCTCTTGGCAAGGCGAAAGTTTCCAAAAGCATTGTACAACTTGTCCTCATTTCTGCATTTCTCTGAACTACTGCAATCTATATTTCAGCCCCATCATTCCCCTAAACAGTGTCACTAAGATTGCCAATGATCCCTGTTACTAAATACAAGACATTTCTTCAGGGCTGGAGATATAGCTCAATTGGTAGAGTGCTTACCTTGCATGCACAAGGCACTGGGTTAAATCCCCGACTCCACAAAAAAAAAAAAAAAGACATTTTTTTCAGGCTTCATCTTCTTTAATCTCTTAGGAATAGAGTGCTACTTCTTTGAAAAACTTTCCCCTCTTTTTTCCCAGCATTTTGTCTTTTTCTTAGAGTTGTGTGGAAGAGTTCCTGGAGCGGTGGTTATAAAACAATCATCTACTTGCTTAAAATCCATTAATAGCTATCAGTAACCGCAAAACGAAGGCTAGGCTCACTAGTCCAAAATTCTAAGACCTTCCAAGGTCTGGCCATGTCAGGTTTGGGAAGGGAAGTTAGTTGTGTCCGCCCCCTCCTTCTGGGGATTGAATCCAGGGCCTCACATAAGCTAAACAAGCGCTTTAGGACTGTTATATCCCCCAGCATCACCCCACCCCCAGCTCCCACTTTTCTTTTTCCCTTCTTCTACTTTGTTTTTGTTTTTGAAGCAGGGTCTCCCTTTGTTACCCAGGCTGGCCTGGAACTTCTATGCTTAAGCCATCCTCCAGTCTAAGCCGCCCAAGTTGCTGAGCCACCATGCCCTGCTTGTTGCCAGCCTTTTATAGCTTATTTTTCCCTACACTCAGGGATACAGGATGAGCTCTAAGCCTCTAACAAGGATGAAATACAAGACATTTCCTGAAGGCGCTATGTTGTTCTTGGCATACCCTGTTTCCATAACTTGGAAAACTAGCTCCTTCCCTCCCAGACTTCTGGGGGAACTCCCATTTATCTTTCAAGACTCTCAAGGTCACTTCCTCCGGTAACCCTTTTAGACACCCCTAAGAATAAAATGTTTTGTTTATTGTAAGTCAAAGGCGCCTCAGATTTTGTATGTGCCATGCATCGTACTGTAGCCACTATAATTTGTTAACCTATGTATCTCCCAGTCTCGACAGATCAAAGGCATTCTAGTCACTTTTTTTCCCCCTCAGTGTTCATCCCGCAGTCTCTGGCACACGGATGCTTTTGGCAAATGTTGCACGAACGCCTCCCACCTGCGGGCGAGACGGGAATCTATCCGGTTAACGGGTGAATTTCCCCAGCTCTCAGCCTGCGTGGCACGGAGATTTAAACCTACCGCACAGTGATTGGCTCTAGCTGTAGGGGTGTGTCTGCGGTCAGGGAGCCCGAGAAGTGCGCAGACGCGTGGCTTGGGGGCACGCAGGCGCGACAAGGGCGCTGCTCCTGGTCCGGTCTGGTGGTGTCCGAGCTGCCGCGGCCGGAGAGGAGTGGCCCGGAACTGCTTGGTGAGTCTCCAGGAATGGAGCTGAGGTAGCTAGCCGGGAGGAAGGTTGGGATCATATCTTGAAGATAAAGAGAATATCGTGACGGTTGGAAAGTTAGTGGGGTCGGACTTAAGGGGAGGAGGGGGCCCTCTGGCCCAGGCTTGGCCGATTGGGCCCGGAATGAGGCGAGGCACAAGAAGAAGTTCGAGGGGCCGGCGGAGGAAGGATGACCTGATCCTTGTATTCGTCTTCGAAACCACACAGATCAACTCTCAGTCCCTCACCGTGTTGATGTGGTCGGGATTAATAGACTGCGTGGTGACCACTGTAGTCAAGTAGTTGTAAGATAACTGTTTGAAGGACTCCGAGGTTCATGGCTTTGGATAGCCCTTGCCTGTCGAGTAGAGTTCGTCCTTATCTTGCGGGTTTTCCGCAGAGACACAAAGAAAAGGATCAGTGAAAGAAGGTAGTAGGGGGTTAGAAACTACTGTAAAATGCAGTTTCACCCCGTCCTTTGTTTCCTCTTTAATCATTAGTCATTACAATATGAGGAAAGGCAGCTGATGATTGAGGAAACCGAAAGATATCAAAGTTGGGAAAAGTGGACGGGAAGGGAGTGTCATTTTACCTTTTGCTGTTTTTCATCTGCCAAGATAGGAAACCGTGGCTGGAGAGGGGAGTTTGGATACTGGCAGCTTTCTAACAGCGTTCCCTCAGTTTTGTGAATAGCGTAGCTTCTTAATAGCAAATATTTTAAGAATTGAGAGATCTTACTCCACCTGTTCAACTGCCTTTAAGACTGGTTCTTAGGTATAAAATACTAAAAGTGCAGACATGGCCAGATAAAAAATGGGTTTTCCCACTTTCTTTTTTCCTCCGTTCTTGCCTGTCCTAGGAAATACCACACTTGAAACTCATGAGACATAATTAGCTAGAATACTTTGAGGTCTAATCTGAATGTATTTTATAATAAAATAAAAAATAATATTTCTGCCAACAGCTAAGTTGATGCCTAAGGCATCTGATGATTACTTTGTCATTCGTTCTTTTGGCCAGAGATATTGAAAACACATTCTTATTAGCAGATATTAGCAAATGGGAAAAAAACCTTTTCATGTTATCATGCTACTGTGACAGATCATGTGGAAATAAGTTAAATGATCATATAACAACTTGCAGCTTAAACAGTTACCAGTTTTGCTAGGGTTTTTTTTTTTTTTCCTTTAGGTGCTTTGAAGTGTGTGGATATGCCTTAGAAAATCATTGTTTCTGAATAGGAATGGTTCATTGAGCCATTATTTTCCTAACAGTATTACACTCTTTCCTAAAAACAGTAGAATTTCTATAGGCATTTTGGTATTTGTTTCTTTAACTGAATGAAAGTACAGTATACAAGCTTACTTAACTAAAGGTCATATCTTTTCTCATCATTCGGAACACAACCTAGAACCAGGAAGAAAGCATAGAAACAAAAACAGACCCTGTGCCCCGTGTTTATGGCACAACTATTGGGTCTTCACTAATAAATTATTACCTTTATAATTTTTGCCATTTTATTTTGTCATCATTGTTTGGTGTTGGGGATTGAATCCATGACAAATGTGCACTCTAACACTGAGCCACACCCCCACCCCAAATTTTACTTAATACTTTAAATGGACTTTTTAAAAAACATTACCCTCCCTGGTCAGTGGCACATCACTTGGGAGGCTGAGGCAGGAGGATTGCAAGATCTAGGCAAGCCTCAGCAACTTAGCAAGGCGTTAAGCAACTTAGTCAGACCTTGTCAGCAAAAAAAAAAAAATATATATATATATATATATTAAAAGAGCTGAGGACTTAACTCAGTGATAAAACGACTCTGAATTCAATCCCCAGTACAAAAAAATAAAAAACAAATAAAAAATTTTAAAAAATTTTCCTCTTCTAAATTGAATCTCTTGAAATCATGGTTTTGATGTATTTTATACTTTTTTTCTAATACACATTATAATAAATATATAACTAGTCAGTGTATAAGCTACCAACTTTTAACATGAAGATTGGACTAAGGTCAATGGACTTGAAAAATCTGTGAGCCCTGTGATGATAATATTTATTATAGTTACCCAATTCTAGCACATTTATCTGGTTTCATCAGATGAAAGCAAATTGGAATGGCAGAGGGGAAGAAGAACATGTTTACTCTTGGATGTTTTTGTGAAATCAGCTGCCTTCTCCCCCCAAATTAAGGCCTTTTGTTTTGTTTTTATATCACATTCTATACACCTACTTTTTGGCAAGGTCTGCGTATGCTAATGTTAGCATTTATAATATGTTGTTTGCATCCAATGGTGCTGAACTTCTTATTCTAGTACCATATTTAGAGGGGCAAAGGACAGAGACAGGATTTTGTTATGGTGGAGGGATGTCTGAAACTGATAGATCCTGTGCTTTCAACAATTGGAGGAAGTGGATTATGGAGCCAGGAAACAGCATGCACTGTGCCTTTATTTATTTATTTATTTAGCAATGTTGGGGGTTGAACTCAGGCCCTCCTCTATGCTAGCAAATGCTCTGCCATAGAGCTGCAGTCCTATCTATGCCTTTTTAGGAGTCAGAATGGAAGTGGCCTCTGTTTGCACTCATTTAAATTCACTGACATTTTGGTTTCAGTTTAGGTTGTATTGCTATTAAAATATTGAAATCACTGGTCACTATATTTCTCTGGAATTCCTTCATCTTGTTGGTATTTGTGAGTTCTAAAACTTAGGTTTATAAGTTTTATTTTAACAATATGTTGATAAGTGAGATTACTTTAGATGATCTCTTGTGCTTATAAAATAAAATAGAAACTTATTGGTACAACACACAAATCCTTCACAGTCTATCTCCTTTTTAATCCATCCTGCCAGCTATATGTATGTGAGGGAGCAAGCACCCGCACGCACGCACGCACGCATACACACACACACACCCCTGTCTTGCACTGTAACATTTCTTTTTCTCTTTCTTTCTTTTTTAAATGATGCTGGGGATTGAACCCAGGGCCTTGTGCTGTGAGGCAAACACTCTACCAACTGAGCTATATCCCCAGGCCCCTGTGGCATTTGATAATCTAAAATCACAATATTTTTAGAGTTGATCATACTTGGATTTTGATTCACACAAATCAAAATTGGGAGATATTAAATAATTTTTTTCAGTGCTGAGGATTGAATTTAGAGACCTTGTATATACTAAGTATTTGCTCTACCATTGAGTTATACCCACAGTCCCTGAGGTGTTTAATAATTATATTGAAAGATTATAGTAGCTTTATTAAGCACTTTGTGCTAGGCATTGTTTTGTTTGGTTTTGGTACTGGGAATTGAACCCAGGGCTCCTGCCACTGAGCTATATCCCCCAATGCTAGCCATTGTTCTAAATGCTTTGCATGAATTAACTCAATCCATATAATAATACTTGAAGTAAGCATTATCGTCATCATCATCATATCATTATTTAATGAGGAAACTGAAGCATAAGAAGTCAAATAAGCAGTTGTCAGGATTTGAAACCATAATGCCTTCAAATAGGAATACCTTTTAATGTTCTGTGGAATATTATTTTCCAGCAACCTGAGTAATTTATGCTATATGTGACATCTGATTCCTTGCATCAGAACATTTGAGAAGCTAACAAGACCATCTAAGTAAAATTGGAATCAGAGCCAACATACTAAGATGGATGGGGAGAATGTTTAGACAGAGTAAAGACTTACTATTTCATCTTCACCCCACCCTTGGTATTTCCCAAGCAGATAACTACTTATAACTGTCAGATTGTCTTTCTTAGATAGATTGCTCGCTTCTGGCCCTTTTGTATTTTTATTTTTATGTGGTGCCCGGGATCGAACTCAGTGCCTCACGCGTGCTAGGTAAGCACACTACCACTGAACTACAACCCCGGCTCAAGCTTCTGACTCTTAAGCCTCTTTGTTATCTTTCACATATTTAATTAATTTTTAAAAAATTTAGTTGTTGATAGACCTTTATTTTATTTATATGTGGTGTTGAGAATCGAACCCAGTGCCTCACACATGCTAGGCAAGTGCCCTACCTCTGAGCCCTAGCCCCAGCCCAATAATTGATTTTTTTGTTCTGATTTTTCTTTTCTTTTCTTTGTTTTATTTATTTATTTTTATTTATTTTTTTTTTTTGTGGTACCAGATTGAACCCAAGGGTCCTTTACCACTGGGCCACAGTTCCAGCCTTTTTATTTTGAGACAGGGTCCTGCTAAATTGCCCAGACCGGCCTCAAACTTTTGATCCTTCTGCTTCAGCCTCTTGAGTCACTACAATTACAGGCATGTGCACCTCACTGGCTGAGGGTTAATATAATTGATTACAATCACATCTGCATCTGACTTCCCAGAATTATTTCCTGGTCACTTAGGGTAGAATTGTGAAAGTACCAAGGTTGGCAGGGACATGAAGATCAGGTGTTGCTGGGTGCATAGCATACACCTGTAATCCCAGCTCTGGAGGCTAAGGCAGGAGGGATCCCAAGTTCAAAGCCAGCCTCAGCCAAAAGTAAGACACTAAGCCACTGAATGAAACCCTGACTCTAAATAAAATACAAAATAGGGCTTGGGGTGTGGCTCAGTGGTTGAGTGCCCCTAAGTTCAGTTCGCAGTACCCCCCAAAATTAAAAAAAGACCAGGTGTTAGACACAGAGCAATTAAATTACTAGGCACTTGTATAAAACTGAAGTATAGTTTTGGTGGGTTTTTTGTTTTTTGTTTTGGTTCCTGATATGTAGTAGTTCTCTCTGACCTGATATGATTTCTGTCTTGAATCATATGCTTTAGTGTACTTTGAAACCAAGATGTTTATATTTGATATGCTTCTGTGGTCTTCCTATCGTATTTGCATAGTTTTGGGGCCTCTATGTAAAAACGGTTAAAGTTGTTCATACAGAGGAAGGTAGAAGGAAACTTGAGAGGAAGTAAAAGGAGGAAACTGTTTTAATTTAAATGAAACTATGAGCTTATCTAAATG